AGATTTGTATATAGCTTCCATATATATTTTGTCCGATTTAAGGTAAATGGTGTACCAAAGTCTCTACATATATTTCGATTTGCACGAAATTTGGCATAGAGTACTTAATTAAGTCTAGAACGATGTGTGTTAAATTTTGTGAAAATCGGTTCAGATTTAGATATAGCTCACATATATATTTTCGTCTGATTTTAGGTAAATAGTGCACCAAAGCCCCTTTATATGCTTGGATATGCCCAAAATTTGGCTTAGCGTACTAAATTGTGTCTAGAATGATGAGTGGTGAGTTTCGGGAAAATCGGTCGAGATTTCGATATAGCTCCCATATGTATGTTCGTCCGATTTTATGTCAATGATACACCATTTGCACGAAATTTGGCATAGCGTACTGAATTGAGTCTAGAATGTTTGGCATAGCGTACTAAATTAAGTCTAGAGAGATGTGTGTTAATTTTCGTGAAAATCGGTTCAAATTTATATATAGCTACCACATATAGATTTAATTTTTAACAACGCGGCGTAGCGAATAGCGTGTATCAATTTTGCTATAAATCGTTTTCCATAAATTTTCCCCATGTTACGCAGGCGGCTCTAAATCTACTCGAATGAAATTAAAGCTAGGATAGGTTGGAGAAAGAGGGAACAAAGACATGCAATTATTAGGATACATATGTACAATATACCCAAAGTGGTGAAGCGTATTATACAGTCGGCCCAGACCGACTTTACTACTTTCCTTACTGGTTTTTACTTGTATATGTAAATTGATGCTAGAAAACCCCAAATTACAGCTAATTTGTTTTGAAAATTGGACTAAGACGTTCCGAAAGTAAAAACATGTTGGATATCCTCAAAATACCGAAATGTATATCGCAATATAGAACCTATACCATAAGAACCCAAAATATCACATTAGAGCCATATCGATAAAAAAAATATGTCCAAAACACCGAATATTGGGGATATATACACAGATCCGAGTGTAAGTCAAGCGCTGACCTCTCTTTTGCCTTTTAGGAAGTACGTAGGATCATTATTATTGATTCCGATTCCATCATATTTTTCATATTCATACCCTACACAACTATGTTGTCAGGGTATTATAGCTTTGTGCAGCCCCAAAAGTTTGTAACGCCGCGAAATATTGGTCCTAGACCTACCTTTAAGTCTCGACTAGCTGAGTCGATCTAGACATGTCCGTCCGTCTGTCCATTATAATTTGTAAACACGATACAGGCCACAGTTATGGACCAATCTTCACGAATTTTTGCATGTAGGATGTAGAATGGGATGAAATGGACCAAATACTAAAATTTTTTCGGTTTTTGTGGTCGCTCCAGTAGCCGCAACAATGGCCCCAACATCGTGAAATTTTGCATGGAGAAGGGGATCGGGCCAAAGAATAGGCATGCCTGTTTTGATAAAGATCGGTCAATATTTAGGGGGTCAAATGGACCTTGACTTTTGTGTGAAAAATGACAAAATTTGTATTCAATAGCGTATATATTTACCCCTGAAGGACATAGACCTGAGAAGTTGATATTATATCCAAGAGGAGTGGTTGACCTTTAAATTAATACCAATTATATTGTTGTACGTGCTCGGATGGGGGAGTTACACTTAAGGGAACCCCACCCATTCTCGATTTCAATTTTTCAAGATTTTCAATGGGCTGGTAAATCAATACCAATGCTTGTTAATGTTTGTAACTTTGCACATATATATTTGAAGGTTTAAAAGAGAAGAAAAATAATTTACAAAAAATTTTTGTTATTGCGTTGTTGTTGTTTTTTGTAATTAAAGAAAAGTCCTTATTTTTGATGGCGGGCATGATAACTCATCACTGGAACATCGGAATCCGAAAATTCCAACGGTGTTAGAAAGAGTACATGTCTGGCTCTCGTATGAACTAACTATTATTGACTTTGCTCTAAAATTAACAAAATGGCGGACCTTTGAAAAAATATTTTTGGAAAATTGCCGATTTTTGACCAAAAACCGGGTTAAAAAATAAGGAAGATCTTCACCGATTGGCTTTATCCTAGTTCATACGATAGCTATACACTCACAGAGAAACGTGTAAAAATTTGGAATCAATTGGGTTATTAGTTTTTGAGTTATCGTGCCCGCCATTCGCAAAAGAGAAAAACGCGTTTAAAGTTTGAGAAGCCCTTTAGCCGTCACTTGCTGACACAATAAATCGGCTATATTTTCAAGAGTTCTTCAGATTTTTACTTGAAATTTTGTAGGGACATTCTTGAATTAGTGTAGATTCGAATTAAATCAAAAAAAATTTTGACCCCGAGAATGGGGGGGGTCCCCTTAAATATTTACAGGTGCTTACGTATTCACATACTATTTAGTAACCTATTACCACACTGGAGTGCGGAAATATAACGCTGATTGCTTTGCAATGTTCCATGAGGTTCCAGTTATGGTCAAGGACAACGCATAAAATGTTAGGTGATGATCAGATAATAATTTTTCGGATGAAGTGGACCGAAAACTTAATTATTTGTACTTTTCGAGTCGAAAGCCGAACATCACAACACAGCCCACGGTGAAGGGAATCTGGACAAGTAATTAGCGGGGCTGTACTGATTATTAGTAACATTTGCTGACATTCGCGAAATATTGCCCAATCTCAGAATATAGAACCACAGAAAGTTAGATATTCATGGAAGTTGTGTAGGGTATCGTATGGTCGGTCCCGTCCGACTATACTGCTCCGCTCACTGGTTTACACTAAACGACTATTTCCTTTTCTTAGGTCTCGTTGGAAAGACATTTTCGAAGTCAGGCACCGCACCCCAATTCGCGGCCTTTAAAATCTGTGATTTCTAAATATTCCAATTGTAATAGTAACTTCCAAAGGATGTGTCAAGTTCGATGATTGGCTATGATCATTTAATCCTCACATACCCAAACACACGATAGTTGATATCTGATGCACTCCACCAAAAACGATAAATATCGGGTCAGGTTTTGAGGCATTGAAGTTTTTGTATAGATTTGGATACGTATAGGGGAAAGGGGACATCTTTGAACGTGGGGCACCTTTGAACAGCGCTCATAAAATATTGGTTTAATATTTTTCCGACCCGCAACCACATTTTTGTATATGGCAATCTTGTTCTCTATATGCGAAAAACCACTTTGGCTTGCTTTTTCAGTTGTCGAAAAATTGTGCATGGGTGACCATGTTTTCTCAGTGTCGTTGTAAACTTTTATTCATTTGGTTGTAAGGGCGCAGGAAGAAATCTGTTATAGTTTTCTTTCGTCAAACAAATTTTTTGCATTCCAACAATCATTCCAAACATAACTAATGTAATTTCTTTCATATATATTTATTACAAAAAAAGTTATTTTAAATTTCCGTAAAATGCAATGGGTGGGGCACCTCTGAACATGCCCATTAAACTCGAGTAAAAAAAGGAGTTTTTAACTTTTGGTTTCGATTTCTTAAAATTTCAAATGGGCTAATAAGATTACGAAATTAACGGTATTTTTCACCATATTAATTTTTGTTTTTAAGTCGTTTTATGTTTTAATAACTTCTGATATAAATTTTTTAAATTTTGAAAAATTTTTATATATTTTTTAATGAATTAACGCATTTCTGATATGTATGTATAAAATACATACATATTTGAAAATAAACACTGTAAAAAACCATGTCGTTCGAAAATGCCAACCCCTGTTCAAAGCTGCCCCCCTGGGGATGGCAGTTTTGAACACTTTGAGTTCGTCCATTAAAACAGTAATAAAATATATTTATTTCATATGTATATTCATTTTAAAGGTTACATATGTACCTATTAGTTAAAATTTATAAGAAACCAAAAATTATAAAATAAAAAATTTTATAAGGCTTGAAAGCAAAAGGTGTTCAAAGGTGCCCCCCTCTCCCCAATATATAAAAAGTTCGGTTCGGAGGATATATTAATTCCGCCAATACCTCTGTAACTTATCGAAATATTCGTTTCGACGCTATAAAGTATATATTCTTGATCAGGTTAAAATTTTAAGACGATCTAGCAATTCCCATCGAGTTGTCCGTCCATCCATCCGTCTGTTGCAATCACGTTCACTTTCGAAGGGTTTGAATTATTAATATCGGTTAAAATTTAAATATAGTCGTACCTGAAATCGGACAATACTATTTAGAGGACTAAATATATAACTAAACAGATTTGGTCTGATTTTAATAAATCATTAATACGCCTATGAACAATTTCCTGATGTATGCTGCGTCTTTATTTAAATTTTGGGTTCAGATATAAACATGGAGCTATGTAAACAAAGTTATAGTTTTAATAAATTCCTGCATTATCAAATTCCAAAACCATTTTTCTCTATGCTCCTAAAGGTATGCTACAGTTTATTTTACATTTTCTAACGTACCCCTCGATTAACAACACATCTCAATTGAAATGGCAGTGATTCTCCCGAATAATGTGTATTAAAACAAAACAACCTCTTTATTTTAAACAAAGTACTTGTGTATACATTCAGCGGTCATTGTTGCTGTTTCGTTGTTGTTGTTGTTGTTGTTGATATTGGAAAAATTTTTTAATCGCTACACAAGTAAAACAGCGGCAAAACACACAACAACGCATCGCACCAGCACCACTCGGCAAACAAAATTTCTGTGGATCAATAAATTTATAGACAGTCGATCGTTGATCGCTGGCCGCAACGGTAAAAAAAGACAACAATTCAGTTAATTCATTGATAAAATAAAGTAGCCGATCCAAAAAATAAGCAAACAATAAGAATAACAAAAAATGAATATGTTCTAAAATAAGATTAAAATGAAATTATTCTTCTTCATGAAATGATAAAACAAAGAAATGCTACGTATTTGAATCAATAAAGTATTGGCGTTTTTGTTATTGTTGTTTTTTAATGTGTTCCATTTTTCGAATAAGTGGAAACGTCCATCGTCTGTAAACAAAGGAATATCAACTCATCATACATTTTTATTTAATGTTATTATTATGGATACAAACAGAAGTGATCCAATTTTATATGAAAAGTGTTCAAAGGATTTCATTTCCGCTGTCATAGTTCAAAGTTCAAAAGAAAATGCGGAACAGGAATCTGGTGTTAAATTGCTAGCCGATCACAAAGCATTTGTCGATAGTTTACGTCGCAACAAACGCACTTGGAAAGTACCCTGGTTCATAGTGTTAATGTGTTTACTACAGGTATATACAGACACACATTTTTATTATCAATTAAAATTAATGTGTCATAAAATGTCAATAAAAATCAATTTATGGGTTATTAATTGAATTAGGCTGTGGAATGTGTGATAACGGGTGTTTTTTTTAATATGAGTGAAAATAAATTTTAACAAAATTAATATTAATTTCCCTAGAAAATTTATAATATGGATATAATTTTTTTATAATATGGAATACATGCATTAAAGCCGGGGGTTTTTTGAAATTAACCTAAAATTCGAAATGACTAAAACATGAATACAAAAATTTTACACGCACATTACGCTTAATACGTACATATTGCTGAAAAATACAGAATTGTAGAAACAAGTATTATATTCGACGGGAATGAACTTTAAAATGTTCATTCGGCACTACTCCTCAGGATAAGTTTTAAGATGATTTTTAAACAAGTAATAACCAACCGGACTAAATTGTTTATACCCTCCCCAAAATGTCAATTTAGATGCTTTTCGGTTGGAATATGCGCAAAAACTATCAAAATACCGAAAATTGGGCGAGACCTTAATATGGGGGTTATGTCAACATATGGACCTATAATGATCATTTTTCCGCAAGCATGATTAAGATTGATATTATTATACCCTTAACTACACTGTGGCATAGGGTATAGATTAGGAAAAAAGAAATCCATTATTTTTTCAGCATATGACTCTACTGATAGATTTCCCGTAAAGTATCGATCAAACAATTTCAGATTTACGCTCTTTGGAAAACTAACATTTCGCAGTAAAAAAAATATATTTTGCTGTTTTTGGTTTGGTAATGCACCAAATAAAAACCAGTAAGGAAAGTATACCACTATGGGTATATTAAACAGGATTATTATCATGAAATTGTATGAAATAAAATATGTGATATTTATCTAAATGTGAAACGACCTAGATCTATGATGATCTATGATGTCAATCTAGAAATATGAGGAGTTTGATGAACAATTTACTTATATATGGATGCTATATCCAAATATGAACCGATTTCAACGAAACTTGTCACAGGTTAGGTTATACTAATTTCAGTACGTTTTGTTCCCATCAGTCATATATTGGTTCCTTGGTGCGTAAATTACTTAAAATCAATCTATAATATGAGGGAGCTATATCTAAATCTCAACCGATTTTCACTAAACTTGGCACACATTATTCTGGATTAAACTCAAAACGCTATGCAACATAAGAACTTGGTACATTATTTACATTATCTAGATCTGAATCGATTTTCACGAAACTCAGCACATATCATTCCAGCATCAATTCAGAACGCTATGCCAAATTTTGTGCAAATCGAAGGATACATGTGGTGCACCATTTACATTAAGGGGACCCCCCCATTCTCGGGGTCAAAAAATTTTTTGATTTAATTCGATTCTACACTAATTCAAGAATGTCTCTACAAAATTTCAAGTGAAAATCTCAAGAACTCTTGAAGATATAGCCGATTTATTATGTCAGCATCAAGTGACGGCTAAAGGGCTTCAAAAACTTTAAAGGCGTTATTCTCTTTTGCGAATGGCGGGCACGATAACTCAAAAACTAATAACCCAATCGATTTCAAATTTTTACACGTTTCTCTGTGTGTGTATGAACTAAGATAAAGCCAATCGGTGAAGATCTTCCTTATTTTTTAACTAGGTTTTTGGTCAAAATTCGGCGATTTTTCAAAAATATTTTTTCAAAGGTCCGCCATTTTGTTAATTTTAGAGCGAAGTCAATAATCCTAGTTCATACGAGAGCCAGACATGTACTCTTTCTAACTATCTAACTAATTATCCAGTGATCCGCCATCAAATATAAGGACTTTTCTTTAATTACAAAAAAACAACAACAAAGCAATAACAACATTTTTTTGTAAATTATTTTTCTTCTTTTTTAAATCAAATGTGCAAATACATATGTGCAAAGTTACAAGCCTTAACAAGTTAGTATTGATTTGCCAGCCCATTGAAAATCTTGAAAAATTAAAATCGAGAATGAGTGGGGATCCCTTAAATCGGACGAAAATATATATGGGAGCTATATCTAAGTCTTGGCCGATTTTCACGAAACTTGGCAAACATCATTCGGGATTAAATTCAAAACGCTATGCAACGTAAGAACTTGGTACATTATTTAGAAATCGGACGAAACTATATATGGGAGCTATACATGCAAAATTTTGTGAAGATTGGTCCATAACTGTGGCCTGTATCGTGTTTACAAAATATAATGGACAGACGAACGGACACACATGTCTAGATCGACTCAGCTAGTAGAGATATGACGATCGGTATACTTAAAGGTGGGTCTAGGACCAATATTTCGCGGCGTTACAAACTCTTGGGGCTGCACAAAGCTATAATACCCTGACAAAATAGTTGTATAGGGTATAAAAAGTTCCACCTTGTCTACAGAGTGTAATTTCAAAACCTAGATTGACGGTATATATATATATATATATATATATATATATATATCGGCAAAACCGATTGAATAGCCTAAAATAAAACCAGGAAGCGGAGCAGAATATTCGGACGTGGCTGACTATACAATACCCTATACACAAACACTGGACATACATTTTCAGTGAAAGTTTGTCCACATATGAACATTTTGGTATATCTGACCACATACGTCAAGATAGTTGAGATGATTTCAAAGTACAAATGATTTTATTTCATATGTTCGTGGAGAAAACATGTCCACCATAGAATGATATGTTCTTCGATTCCCAGAACCACTTTCCGGTTAAATTACATAGTGTTCAGATCATACATATGGTCTATAGAGCGATTAGAATCAAACATAAACATCCATGATTTTTTTCCCGGGTAAAATTTAGTTTTGTTCGGGTCATAATTGTGATCTCTAGAGCGACCAGAATTACAGACAAAAATAAAGTTTTAGATCCATTTGACAGACAGCTAGTAGAAATATATCGGTGGTCTTGGAGCTATATTTCGCTGTTTTACAAACTCTTGCGACAATAAAATGTCTCACAACATATTTGTGTAGGGTAAACAAATATATAAAAAAATTAAATGTGCCGGAAACGAAAAAATTCCCAAAATCCGCCCAAGTGCAAAATTTTAAATTTGTTATACCCATTTTTGGGCATAAATGCCCACTTTCGGCAACACTGCAGCAAATGGACTTCTTCATTGTTTTTATTTATTTAGAGCATAAAAACCCTAACAGCACATTCTCTCCATATACAGGTTCCGATCTATATGAATGCACACCACAGGGTATTAAATATTTGCCCCGGAAGATCCTGTCCTACAGATATTATCAATTACAATGCATAAAGTTAGTGTACAATAAATATCTAACATCTTTAAATACAGTTAAGTGGCTTGATAAAAGTTGAATAGGCTAAAATAATATTTGTGTCTCTATGGTGTATGCAAAACTGCACAACCTGTCTACGACCTTGATTTAAAACTAAATTAAAATTTGTCTCCGCAAATTCCTTTAGCAAGCTATGCTAAACAAAATAATTAGAAAACCAGTGAGCGGAGCAGTATAGTCGGACGGGGCCGACCATATTCCGAGTCTGGGCAATATTTCGTGATATTTGCACCCTCTTGCCCGATTAGAGGTAAACAGCACCTCTTCCTCACACTGACATATTTTCCGTATATTACGAGTATTCAGTACAGCTATTGTCCAGATTCCCTTCACCGTGGGTTGTGTTGTGATGTTCGTCTTTCATTTGTGGTCTAAAGATCGACTCGAAAATAACACAAAAAATTAAGTTTTTGGTCCACTTCATTCCATTATTATTATGTGATCATCACCGAAAATTATAGGCGTTGTCCTTGACCATACCTGGAACCTCATGGAACATTTTAAAGCGATCAGCGCTATAGTTCCGCTCTCTAGAGTGATAATGGGTTAATAAATAATATACGAATACGGAGATACCTGTAAATATTTAGGTGTAACTCCCACATCCGGCCACATACAAAAATATAATTGGTCTTAATTTAAAGGTCAACCACTCCTCTTGGATATAATATCAACTTCTCGTCTATGTCCTTCAGTGGTAAATATATATGCTATAGAATACAATTTTTGTAATTTTTCACACAAAAGTCAGGGTCAATTTGACCCGCTAAATATTAACCGATCTTTATCAAAACATGCATGCTTATTCTTTAGCCCGATCCCCTTCTCCATGCAGAATTTCACGATGTTCGGGCCATTATTGCGGCCTCTGGAGTGACCAGAAAAACAGAAAAAAATTTAGTGTTTGGTCCATTTCATCCCCTATATATTAACCGATCTTTCCCAAAAACAATAGGGGTCTTCATTGGCCAGGACCCATTCTACATGCAAAATTTCGTGAAGATTGGTCCATAACTGTGGCTTGTATCGTGTTTACAAATTATAATGGACAGACGGACGGACACACATGTCTAGATCGACTCAGCTAGTCGAGATATGACGATCGGTATACTTAAAGGTGGGTCTAGGACCAATATTTCGCGGCGTTACAAACTTTTGGGACTGCACAAAGCTATAATACCCTGACAACATAGTTGTGTAGGGTATAAATAGTTCCAAAATAAAACTTCCAAAGATAAGCCACTTCCGACCTACATCCTAACTTCATTAGATAGATAGATATTTTTGTTTAAACTAACCATGCAACGAAAAACAGACACAAAAACAACAACAACTATCAGCATCAACAAAAGTTTGTATGCCGTAACCACAGATTTCTGTAGCAACGAACAAAGTTTTGTGTGCGGAAAACTTCAACCACAATTAAATCTGTTCCATTGCCCCCTGAAACCACAATAATGGTGTGTGTGTGTGTATGTGTGAGCGTGGGGTGCATACGAATCCATGCTGTCTGTTGACATTGAAGTTGCCAATATTGTCAACATCGGCAACATAGTGCATTTGGTTGTCTATACAATGTGTTTAGTGTTGTTATTGTTGTGCCGTGTTGCATGTTGCCACAAATGAAGCATAAATGTCCAAGACCATTTGTATTTCATCGATCATCGTTCGCAATGCAATCAACTTTTATTATTATGAGCCATTGTTTGGCAATTGCACACACAGACACACACACACAATTGCACACGAACACACTCAATCCCACTCCATTCGATTGAGGGTGGATGTTATTGAAACTGAATCACATCGATTGATATGTTTTCTGGCTAAAATAGTTTTTGACAAGCCAATTCTATCCTATGTCGTTTGTCTGTCAACTTGTTATCTCTTGAACGTGTTTACTGGTCATATTTGATATTCAATTGTTCGAATCAAAATATCTGAGGTTTAAAAATATGGAAGTGCATTTTGGGTTTCCATCATCATCAGTCAGTCAACATCGAGTAATTCAATACTCTTCAATTGGCCTGCTTTACATTTCGTTGTATCTAGGTGATGACGATTTAGTTTTTAGTTTTAGTGGAACAAGTTAATCACTAGACCACAGTTAAGTGCGGTTTGGACTAATTGCAGCCAGCCAGACAGACGTCATTGGCTGACACATAACAAATTAACCGAACAGAATTTAGTTTGATCACATCGTTACTATGTATTTCAGCTGTAATTTGATGCAATGCAATAATTAAGAACAGATTTTAGTTTTATTGAACTTTTAGTTGGATTGAAAATATTTGTAAAAATTACATTAACGAACATTTGGTATGCGATCTAAAATTACAATTCCGCAATTGAAAGCAAAGATAAAATATTCGGAGACACTCAAAATAGCTTAAGGGGACAGTGGGCTGGTAAATGAATACCAATGCTTGTTTGTAACTTTGCACATATATATTTGCAGATTTAAAAATAAAAGAAAAAAAAATATGTTTTTTTTTTGTTTTTTGTGATTGAAGAAAATGGCTTATTATTGATGACGGCCATGATAACTCCTCACTGGAACATCGGAATCCGAAAATTGCAAGGATGTTAGAAGGAGTACATGTCTATCTCTCGTTGAACTAGGATTATTGACTTCGCTCAAAAATTAACAATTTGAAAAAAAGTGTTTTAGAAAATCGCCTATTTTTCATCACAAACTAAATTAGAAAATAAGGAAGATATTCACCGATTGGATTTATCCTATTTCATACGATAGCTACACACCACCCGAGAAACGTGTCAAAACGATCGGATTATTATTTTTTGAGTTATCGTGCTCGGCATTCGTAAGAACACTGTTTGGAGAAAAACTGGTTTAATGTTTGAGAAGCACTTCAACCATCGCACAATGGGAAAAAATACCGATCTAGCGCGTAGAAAATAAAAAAATTAACTTGAAGGAAACTTTAAAACACTAATGCAGTTTTAAAGCAGAGTGTTGATTGTACTTAAGTCTGCATAAAATAATCCGAATTAATAAGTTAGAACGGAATAAGGGTACAATTAAAATATATATTTTTTCCAATGTTAAAAATGGTATTTTTTTAGCTATAAAATTGCGATGGTCGTGTGCATTCTGTGAATATATTATTATAAGATTTTGTCCATTTTTATACCCTACACAACTATGTTGTCAGGGTATTATAGCTTTGTGCAGCCCAAAAAGTTTGTAACGCCGCGAAATATTGGTCCTACACCCACCTTTAAGTATACCAAAAACTTTATTTTTGTCCGATTTTCTGGTCGCTCCAGAGGCCGCAATTTTGGCCCAAACACCGCGATTTTTTGCATGGTGGAGGGGATCGGGCCAAAGAATAAGCATGCCTGTTTTGATAAAGATCGGTCAATATTTAACGGGTCAAATGGACCCTGACTTTTGTGTGAAAAATGACAAAATTTGTATTCCACGGCGTATAAATTTGCCCCTGAAGGACCTAGACCCAAAAAGTTGATAGTATGTTCAAGAGGAGTGGTTGACCTTTAAATTGATACCAATTATATGGTCGTATGCACTCAGATGTGGGAGCTACACTTAAATATTTACAGGTGCTTACTTATTCAGACATTATTTAGTAACCCACAACCACACTAGAGGGCGGTAATATAGCGCTGATCGCTGTGAAAATGTCCATTAGATTCCAGTTATGGTTAAGGACAACGCCAATAACTTTCGGTGATGATCAGATAATAATTTTGGGATGAAGTGGACCGAAAACTTAACATTTTTTTTTTGAGTCTATCTATAGGCCACAATTGAAGGCCCAACATCACAACATAACCCACGGTAAAGAGAATCTGAACAAGTACCGCCCTCGTCTACTGAGTATTAGTAATATTTGTTGACCTTTAGTCAGGTTTCAAGAGGGTGCAAATAACGCAAAGTTAGATTTTCGTGGAAGTTGTGTAGAGTATTATATGGTCGGCCCCGTCCGACTCTACTGCTCCGCTCACTGGTTGATATATAGTATTGGTATTTAATTAAATGGTATAGTTATATACCCATAAGTTATTATAATTTTGGTTTTTCGGGCTAAATATATGTAAGGTCCGTTTTTTTTAAATTCCTTCAATTAAAATAGGGGTTTAGTGTGGAATGCAGTCGAGTTCAGCGTTGATTTTTTTAATTTTTTTGTATGTCTGTCTAGAACATCATACTAATTTTTTTCCTGCGACTTCCTGTGACTCTCGGATTTATGGCAATTTTTTGAAAAAAGGCCAATTTGGTGTAGAAAGCTTTTCTAAGGTTCCAGATTAATGGGTGTGAGCATGAACATGACGGTATTTAAGTAAGCTGTTCCAAACATTGATTTTAACTCATGCACTGAATATACATTTATTCCAAATGTCTTTCTAAATAAAAATTGAAATTACAACGAAATCGGTTGTAAGAGTCTTCTCATATACCGCAGGTAAAGGGTCTACTTTATGAACCCTGAAAAAATAGCATTGGTGTAACAATCATATATACATCGTTTTGCCTACATTTATGGTGCGGTGCAACACCCAAAGTAATGAATGATTACAACAAAATTTCGTAATTAACACCAAACATCAACTTATACGAATAAGGCCTGTCTACCTTACATGCAAGGATTCGATGTTTGGAATGTATATTGCACATTTCATACCGACCGGTTTTCGAAGAATGTGTCATTTAAAGAACTTACTGAGGAAACATTTATTATTTTCGTGGAATTATATCCTTGGTTCCATATGCCTTCATGTATACACAAAATATTAGTGCATGGAGCTGATATAATTAAATGTGCAGCTTTGCCCATAGGAATGTTGTCTGAAGAAGCCATAGAATCCAGAGATAAGGACTTTCTGAACTACAGGGAACTATACATCAGAAAAATTAGTCAGAAAAATTAGTAGGTTGCTATTTTCTTCTGATCCAAAAATATCAAGTTTGTCTCGTAGTACATCTCTTAACCATCGATATAGTGAGCCACTATCTGAAGAACACTCGGATTCTGAATGTGATTAGTATTTAATAAGTAGTGCCTTAATTTTATAAAATATATATAGTTTAATGTTTTAGATATATAATATTAACAATAATAAAGATACATATAATAACAATAGTGTTTGCCCTTAACCCACTTTTTACCCTCCAAATGTTTCGGAATTTTTAACAGAAGCTCCCATTTTGGGAGTACTATTAGTTATAACGAAAAATTTTGCTTATTAAAAAATGTTTAAAAAGCTTCAAAATAGTAATTTTCACCTAAAAATTTATTTTTTTTTTAATTCGGCCACTAAGCGCCGAAAAATTGCCAAAAAATTGTCCATCTAAATCCATTCTTATCCAAAATATCGATAAACATACAGTAAAACATCTACTTTTATTTTCTGCGCGCTAGATCTGCATTTTTCCCACTGTGCGCCTGTCCCTTTCCATCGCATTCCCTGTAAGGCCATAATATCGGCTTTGTACTTCTTGAGTACATCCGCCAAAGCGAGAACTGCTCCTGTTCTGTAAAACGTGCGCACATTTCAAATGCAGTTTCGCAGATAGTGGTCCTTTATACGTTTGCAGGGGTCGTTAACCTTAGGGGGTTTGGTTTTCTATTTCATTGCTTTTTCATAGTAGGAATGTTTTCCGAGTGTGGGCAACTAACCCGACGCCTCAATCCATTTTTTATAGTTCTTATGGGTGAACTCGCGGCATATATCATCTCACTATTTCAAGGGGCGATGAAAATAGCTACCCCATGTGACACCGCGGGGAGATGAAAGAGGGACCAAGATAGCCCTGGGCTTCACCATGTTAAAGCCAATCAGAGCCGTTGCTTGGTATCTATCGTCCCCTACGCCACTCCCATATATATCTTCATCTGTTTTATCTTTGTGCTGCCAAATTATAAACATCGAACACCAGTTTTCAAAATATGTTGATCACCATTGAATGAATCATATTTTTCTTTTGATTATCAATCCATCATTTTTCTTAATTAATTAAACAAATCGATTTTGTGAATCTATGATTTTTAATGTTGGTGGCTATTAAATGTCACAAACTATTGTTGTAGACAATGTTTTTTGCAACGAAATATACACTCATTTCTAAATTTGGCGCAAATACATGTCATGGCAACTTTATTTATTTGGCCAACATGATTTAACCATATACGTCGACAACAAATCGTGTAATGACTTGATTAATTGTGTTGCATACAATGGAGAATGCAATCGCAGATATGTTGCAGAGTTATGGACAAATAAAGTTATCAGAATGTTTTTTTTGGGTTTTGCTGAGTTATTTAATGGTTGTTGAGTCAAAAATATTTGGATTATTTTCATTAGTATTTTATTGCATTATTTGTTGTTTCGTTTTATTTGTTAATTATTTCTGTTCATTTGTTTTTTCTTCTGTTTTAACCACCTAGATCTCAATGTATTTAATCGACAATCGTTGCATACGTCAGCATTTGATGTTTATGCCGAATGCTGTGCATGAATATTGGCGTTATTTCACATATATGCTTCTACATTCGGATATACTGCATCTGTTGATGAATATTTGTTTACAGGTAAGTTCATTTTAATATTTTCTTTGTTTATTGGGTCATGGTAATAAATTACTTACATACATATAACGTTCCATTTTCTTTTGAAAGGCGTTAATGAAAAAATAATTCTTAAGCAAGACTAGATAAATTAGCCTATCAGGCAAGTTTGAATATCATTCATGATATTCAGACCTTCCTGATAGGTCTATTCACATATAAATTTACGCTTGTTACGCGAGATAAGGAAGATTTATCCTTACTAGACAGGGTAAACCTTTCTAAAGACTATGACAGGCTTGTTACCGACGATACCAAGCACTTGCTGTTTCGACAACATTTGGTTGCGTCGATTTGATCTTCCTTTGTCCATGAAGATGGTTTCAACCTTCGGGCATTCGACTTAATTTTTCTGCATTCCACATTTGACTGGCTGATACACATATATTCGATTATCGTGCCAAACACTGCCGAAAATTGTCTTCTCTATGTTTTCGAACAGATTGGCATGGTTGAAGACCTTCGATAGGTCTAGAGTCCCCTATAACTTTTCGGTTATACAGTCTATTCTGGTTCAGTCCTCTATTAATTAATCGATATGATGAATCAATTCTATTTGCTACGGCGACTTCTGTCACCGTAATTCGTCGTTATCTTTTGCTACCGACGAATTATGTGAGTTGCTTAAGCATTGTCACTCTCGGGGTGGGGTTAAAATAAACTACACACGCCGTACTTCCATTTTGGGTTCGAGAGTGAATTATCCTTTGCCTACATGTAACTTGCCCCCTCTCAATGTTCCACTGTTCCAGGTGTTCTATTCTAATTCTCCATTTTTGTTCGGATAGTTGACTTTGAGAATAAGTTATTTTCCCTTGGGATTTAGATTTTGTACCACGAATGATGGGTTGCCAGCTTAAGTCATTTATCAAACCTGCTGTCACTATGATGATGTGCAGGGATGTTCCGTGTGACGAATTTTTAGGTTATGGGCAGTCAAAAAAGTGTAAACGTCGAAAACGTCATATACGCGTATAAAATGTAATAAATGTAGTGAACATCATTTACTTTAATATTATAACAATATACAGTTATTTTATTCTTTACTAGAACTGATAAAAATTCTAAATTTTTTGAGAAGAAAATTTTGAAATTTTATATGTATTTGAGTAAAGCATACGAAGTTTCCAAATTTATTAATGGAAATAGCTATTTTGTCGAAAACCTAATGGTTTTGGGTGGGTTTCCGACGTATCTGGCGTATGTATTATACGTCGGAAATGTATGTCATATACGTCACGGTTTCTGACGGAACATCTCTGATGATGAGGCTGTGGCAATCTCCCCTTATCCTTTAGGAACATTCTCATTTTTCGATGCAAAATGTTAAGCTATTCATGTGCTTGCCAGCCATGTACCCCTTTAGTCATTACCTAGGACCATACCTCATGGTGGGCATCGCCACCATGCTGCATATATTGCTGTTGAGGACATTGTGGGTGTGTGTTGTATTCTGACTAAAGTTCGGAGGTCCTCTTTTCACTGGCAGCCTCTGGCCGAAGTTTTCTTTCGATTTAATTTAGTGCATAAAACCAGCTGGCGCGGGAATTTCGCCTATCCGTCGGTCTATCTGTTGAATTCTCGATAAAAATCACAGTACATAATTAAATGCTACTATATTTGGTATTAAAAATAGGTTATATCGATCCACGTTCAGGTATAACCCATAAAACGATAGCGAAGACTATACAGAAAAACCGTTTAAAGGAATATTTTCATAATTTCGTTTAGAATACTCATTTTTCTTCTCTCTTTTATTTTGACAAAAACAAATTTAATCCTCCCAAGAAAACGTAAGGAAAGTTCAAAAGTCGGACGGGCCGATTATATGAAACCCTTCACCAATTTTCACCTTCCCAATCGGACCAATATTGGGATTTTGGTGCAGCATTTACATGAAATCGGACGAAACTTTATATGCGAGCTATATCTAAATATGAACCGATTTTCTCCAATTTCAATAGGGTTCGTTCTTGGGCCAAATAAGTTACATGTGCCAAGTTTCATCCACATCGGATCATAAATGCAACCTGTACTTTGTTCACAAAAATACAGAGACGGACATGCATAAATCGACTCAGAAAGTGATTCTATACATATTCTCAGAAGGAACCATGGGTCTATCGCGATTCCTTTTGCCTGTTACAAATATATGCACAAAGACTTAACACCCTGTACCACAGTGTGGTGAAGGGTATAAACAACACCACCAGGAGCACCATTCATAGTTCTCCCCTAACATTATGCTTCTTATTTCTGTAACCATTTATTTGACTACCGTTGTTTCTGTTTCTAACAACCGCGGACCTGGCACTCATTCCATTGAGACTAGTTTAGGATTCCATTGGTTCTGAATTTCGCGTATGTATTTTCCAAATCATTTCGATATAAATGCTAAATTCAATGTATCAAGAAGTGTCTGCAATGGTGTTTCGAAATTCGCGTATGTATTTTCCAAATTATTTCGATATAAATCCTAAATGCAATGTATAAAACAAGTATTGATACGAACAACAAGGCCAATCGAATGGTTAACATTGCAATCGATGAAGACTTGCGAAAAATTTTGATCAAATTTGTGAACTTATATGTGTTTTTGATAGTTTTATTGTGAACCATAACTTAATGGGTCCATTTTATTTGTCAACTAACATACCAATTGAATTAAAGGGGCGTCTATAGTTATGATACGCAGTGTATAAAACAAAAATAAAACGTCACAGAAACGCGCCACCACTACCAAACGCACACTCCATTTTTTTATTCTCTCTGACATGAAACGAGTATTAACATTTTTATGAATTGCATTCATATAATGCAAAAATCCCGACATTGTACAAAATTTTCAGAACACTATTCATATAATATACGAATTATTTGGTTCTGTGTGTGTAACTTGACATTCTGGGTGGGAAACATACCCTGCAGCGAGCAGCTTTAGTAAAATTGTAGTGTTTTACTGGTGACATTGTCGCTAGTACTAGTGAAAAAGTATACCACAACCAATGTAATTTCCTATGGACATTTAACATAGGCTTGTCATAGGAGAAGTACCAGTAGACCTTGACTATATTGACTAAGTAGTTCTTTTGGGACTATATGGTGACATTTGAACCAAATAGTCACTAGAAAAAGATTATATCTTTTGAGATTATGTGATGACGTGTATACCAAATAATCACTACATTATATTGGGTTTCCTGAGCTATATGTAGACATTTGAACCAAATAATCACTAGAAAAAGATTAGATCTTTTAAGTTTATATGGTGACGTTTGAACCAAATAATCACTGCATTTTATTGGGTATCCTGAGCTATATGTAGACATTTGAACCAAATAAACACTAGAAGACCATTAGTCCTTTCGAGATCATATGGAGGCATTCGAACCAAATAGTCATTTGAGATTTTTAGGAAAATGCTTGTAATAGAATAAGTATTTAACAACGTTACATTTTTAACGCAGTTATTAAGTAACAAAAACAAAAGTAAAGCACAGTTCAATCTACACACAATATATTTAATTAATCTAAAACAGTCTGCGAATTTTAGGCAAGGTAATAAATTAAGAAATGGATTACATATATAGCTCACTTTTTTCAAGGCTGGCCAAACCTTGTCTTATTTTTAATAAAACTGAATAGTGTTAGAACTAGGATTTTAAAATTATATAGTATAACATAAAAACATTCAGTTAAATTTGTGGTTCTTCATCATTTTCATCTTGTTCCTTTTCTTCGGTGCGCCTGCTTCGTTTGTTGATCTTAAAATACTTTTTCTTTTGGCGTTGGAACGCTGCTCGTAAAGTCTTGTCAGGTAATTTATTAAATGTTGATATAACTTCTGTTTTATAAACTATATTTTAGCATTACTTATTTGAAACAAAAACAAACACGTTTTACCTATTATGGCGGCAAGTACATTACCAAAATCTCGTAGACCTTTTTTCCCGAAAGTTCCGTCAACATTAAAATCCATAATAATATTTCTTCCAAATACTTTATGCAAATTACGTTCAGCGTTACCTGCAATGAGATTTTTCATTTGTCGAGTCTGCAATTGTAAAAATTGTTTTAGTTATGAATTTGTTATTCCCAAAACGCAGATACGTACATATATATCTGCTTGTGTTGCGAGAATTCGATCAAATTCTCGAAGTTTTTCTTCCGATTCAATTGGAAAAATTGTCATAATATTGTCCACAAATGCGTTCTGAGAAATAACACGATCCAGTAAAACTTTATGCTCCGCCAAAATATCAATAATCGTGTCTAGTTTTCTGGCATTTTCTTGGCAGGAAGAACATTTTGCATTAGCTATCAAAAATATGAACTCAATTTTGTTATACTGTTAAAAATTTAGTGATAATCTTTGGAGATTACCTTGTGGAGCAAAATATTTCATTTTTCCTTTGGAAGGGTTGGCATTTTCGTTCGACATGTTTATGTGCGGGAGTTGTGTACTTAGGAGGTAAAAATTTGTGCTTGATATTTCTCTGGAAAGCAGGAATGTAAAATGGGCACGATTACAAAATCAGAATCAATTGGCAAGCATACAAATTTGAACTGAATGTCTTTAATACAAAATGTCTCTTTTTCCCCTAGAGTCAGATTCGTTTTGAAAATACCAATCTCACAAGAATTCACCGGTTCTTCGTAGAAACTTTCTAATGCCAAAATTCGACTGCCTTCAATATATATTTCGCCCTTTTTCTTTATATTATCAATTTTTATTGGAATGCATGAATTCACCGCGCAAATATTATCTGGTTCTTTGCAGGATATGTAGCAATCATTTACAAAAGCTCCAACGATAACACCTTTTTCATATTTTAACCCATCCTGAATAGTGTTGACAATCATGCAATTTTTTTCCTTTTGAATAATTTGTTGAAAGATATGTGATGGTTTTCGAACATGTTTTTTCAGTGTTTGCAGTTTATTTTCAAATGCATATGCAGAAAACGAAATAAGGGGACCATACTTTTCTGCGCAAGAAGCCAAATGAAGCAGATTATGAACGTTAAAAGAAATGCTGTTCGAACCAAATACAGTTGAGAAGTTCTCGACAAATAATTGAAGCAAATTATTAGCTTGAACAATATTTTGATCCATATGTCGTGCATTGTTAAGAAGTCGATAAGCACAATGTAAAGTTAAAAATTCATAATAAATATCTTCGTGTACATTATTATAAAGAGCAATAATTCCTGTATAAGCAAGGAACTGGTGAAATTCAGTCGCTTTCCAATGACAAAGATCATCTAAAGGCCTGGGTTTTCTTGGGAATTCCCTTGGAATGTATTTTTTAAATTTCACCAATTCAGAAGATATTTTTGAAATATTTTGTTTTGAGGTTTTCTTTTCAGTTTTATTATGCATTATTCTGGTTAGCATTTTTTTGGTGACTCCGAGGTCAATGAGATGCATGCTATCTAAAGGAGTCTGATTTATCATACCAAATCCAATTTCTTCGAGAGGAGTTTTTTCTTCTTTGAACATTTGGGAATGGTGGCATGGATACTTTCGCACAGCAAAGTCCTCATCGGAGATTAGGGAACCACTCTCGCTACTATAAGTCAAGACATTGTTTACCTTCTTCGCAATTTGAGTACACTTGGTGCAGCCATGTGTTGATGTATGTCCAGGAACTCCACAAACGAAAGCTTTTGCTGGTGCGTCACATATTAAGCAACGAAACTTCAATTTTAAATGTTTTTGTTGTATGATAAACTGACCTTTTAGTAGAATCACTTCATCAATGAAGTCTTTCAAATACACATTCACACTACCCGGCTTGGTGTTTCCCAAGTATAATCCAACAACAAACGGTTTTGTTTTCTCCTGAATATTAACGATTCTGCAAAGGATTGGCCACAATTGCACACGAGAGCTTTTGAACAGTGGAATTCCATCGATATTTATATCTAGTTCGACTTCCTCATACTTTTCCAAAATGTGACCAACTTTTCGTAGTTGTGTTTCTATGCCAATATGACAATAAATTCCAGGGGCAACATTTCTCGTTAACATATTTTTTGCTCTGCCCACCAAAGTCTCTCTAGTGAGCGGAACATCTAGACCTTCTTCCTTTAATATTGATAAAAGACTTTCCAAACATTTCTTTGAAGGATTCGTTTCCATGCACCACTTTTTAAGTTTGTCCCGCAACATTAATTTCGGAACTGCAAAATCTTCCATTCCATTTTCCACGAAATCATTTATAAAATCTCCACCGTTTGACACAAATTCACTTTCACTATTTTCTTGTTCACATTGCAAACTTCTGTTTTTATACAATATTTTTTGTTTTTTAATTAATCTTTTATAATTTCTTTTACTCATTTTGTTTATATATTTAATAAATAATCACCTTTTTAACAATAAAACACACAAAACAAATTAATTGCCGATAAAAACGCGTTGTTTCGATGCGATCTACAAAAAAATTACATAAAAATGTGTATATATTCAATATGTTTTAATGACAATAAAAGAAAAGCCAACTGTCGACATTGTCAGTAGAAATACACTACAATCAGTGTCCCAAACCAAACTCTACTCGTAAATTGTTGAAATTTGAACTAGTACAATTGTCTGTAGAAATAAAGTGGTAATATAAGATACACATGGATCTTTGCTCGCAGCAGGGTATTTGCAGAAGATTTTTGACATATATCGATATAAAGGTATTTTGAAAGTTTTAGAAGGGTTTCAATGTAGGTCGATATTTTTACACAGTCTCCATATGGGAAATTACAAAAATCTTTTAAATTCCTTGAAACTGAGGTTTCCAAGGTTATAACTCTCGAAATATGTACATATTGCATATAATTTAAATTCATTTCTATAAAATGAAGTGTTCTTGTCAAAATCTTAAAATATTGGTAATAAATAATGAGTTGCGTGGAAGCTGTGATGGTGGTAATGTAAAAAATGGGTGAAAATATGTTGAAGCCACATGCTGGCATTTTGAAGCCGGATTTTCGGTGTTTTTGGAATTTTTCGTATAATTAGGATGCGCATCCAGATAATGGACTAAACTAATTATAGGATTGTAGAACTCGTGATTTAGCTTCGTTTAGTGTATATCTCATGAATGTGCTCACCGCAGCTTCTTTGCAATTGGGTTCCAAAGACGAAAATTTGGTGCGTAAATTTTTATAAAAAACCTATTTTTGTGTCTAAAATTAAGAAAGTCCATTCAAATTCCGTGGAATCCCGTGATTTTAGTTTTTTTTACGTGCCGGATCTAAAACGGCGGATATAGGTACCTTGAATGTGGGAAAACTGCAAAAACTTATTTCGACAAATTCGCGTATATAATCGCGTTTTTCTTCGAATTGATTTCACATACATTCATTCTTGTGTTAACATATTCGCGAATCTGTGTGAAAATAGGTCAAAAATATATCGATACGCGAATAATATGCGTATTTTATCCAAAATCGATTGTGGAGGCACATCCGCGGTTCTTAACCGATCCGGTGTCCTTTTGTGTATTTTCATAGGAGATAACTGAAATCGGATGCGCATAAAAATCGTATGCACGTTGCGTGCTTTTTAGCATAGTAAAGTGCATTTTGCGAATTGCGTGATTTTAAATATTGATAATGTTTATGTATTGTAACTGCAATATAGTTAGTCATTTTTACAGTCGAAACTGTTATCAGATGAATATGCCGATATTTAACAATCATCTAAAAGAATTTGAAGAAAAAAGCGTCGCATATTTTAGAAGATTAAGGCAAAACCGTATTCCCTTAACCCTACTAAAAAAATCGAAAATTCAAAAAACATTTCGATTTAATTAAAACTATAATTTATTTTATTTTCAGATATCTTCATGCTTCTATTTGTTTTTCGCGACAATTTAACCGTAATTCAATGTGATTTGACAAGTATGCAAAGAAAACAAATGTGTTTAACCATTCGTGAAGAAATTTGCGAATTACAACAAATACGAATTAATTTAATTTATATTTGAAATACAAGATTTAAAATCGCTATAACTTTTGTGCGCAGCATCCGAATTTATGAACGGGAACATATTTCGAATCAGCATATTTATCTTAACCTATGTACCAAAAATCATGAATGTGCTCGCAAAAAATTTTTCAATTTTTTTTTTATGGAATTTTAAAAGAATTTTGTAATTTCCCATATATAGGTTCCGAGCCATTATCAGTTTTTAAGGCTTTCCGCATGTAGTTTCGCATTCCGGATTTCTTTTGAATTAATTCATTCGAAATGTTATTATATTTTTTAGTTTCAAGTGGCTCACTTTCAGATATTTACTGTAGATCAATTCTTCGTAAAATATTATAACTGTTTAAATTCCATCCTATAAATATTAAGATAATAATAAACACAAATACTATGTAATAAAAAAATGACATATAAATTAATAATCAATAATTTCCTATATTTACAGTTTGTTATAGCCTTTTGTTTGGAAAGCGAACAAAGCCACTGGAAAGTAGCAACAATTTATATAAGTGGCGGAATTTCTGGTTCATTGGCCACACGTTATTTGCAGCCCGAATTGTCGCTGATGGGTGCTTCAGCCGGTGTGTATGCTTTATTGATGAGCCATATTCCGCATCTTTTGAAGGTCAGTGAAGCGTAACCTTTTTTCGCAGCCGCAGCCCCGGTCGCACAGCCACCCAATAATGAACGATTTATTTTATAAAGACGCATATCGATAAACGTGTGCCCAAAGTAAACGTGTAATTCGGATGGTTATGATGACGATGGTGATGACGCGTAAACGTTTATTTTTATGTGAGGCAGTTTTCTTTTTTGTTGTGCATTCATTGTTGCGAGTGGCAGCCAGTGTTGATTGGGTGATGGCTGTTTAACACGAATAATAATAGTTTATTTTTATTTTTCTTGTTTTTTTTCTTTTTCTCTTCCGTTGCAGAATTTTCCTTTACTCACCCATCGTTATTTGCGCATATTGGCATTAATGATTTTATTTCTGAGCGACATCTGTTTTACGACATTCCATATACTCATCAATCACAATACGAATCCACGCATTTGTGTCGAAGCTCATGTGGCAGGTGCTGTTATCGGTTTGATTTTTGGATTTTTCATTTACTCATCCCAAGCTAAGGCCAGCAGTAATGTGATGAAGCAGGAACTGGAGCCGGGGCAGCAATCGTGTATTTTGGTTACATGCAACAGTTGATTGCAAAACACACCTTTGTGCAATGTAAACGTAATGAGAGCAACGTAAGCCTAGTCCAGAGTTGCCGTTGCATTTTAATGCGATCAACATGAAAAAAATTATGTAAAATAGAAAGAAATAGAGGATACTCTTTCGGCGGGACCGAACATTAGAAATATATTCAAATACTCATTTATACAAAAATCTCAACATGAGTTAGAATGCGAGGCAAAGCCCATCATAATAAGCAAAGGAATTGTAATGCATAACATATTATTTGGGTTCTTCCCATAACCCTCAAACATCTGCAGCTTTGTATTTCTTCGATTCAAGTTGATATTAATACCACAAACGTTGGAAAATGCAACAACAACAGGGATTGATCATTCAAATAGCCAGGGACTTGATATAATAATAAATTTAGAATTACATGAAGTATTGATGTTATGGTGCCTCCCTTATAACGAGTTATACAATCTGTTGGAGAAAATTGTATATTGTCAAAAACTCGAATGTATTTTATGTATTGGCATAGTCAGAATATTCTCTCTAGAATAAATATGTTTTATAAGCTAAATTTTTTTAATAATGTATTTTTTACGAGTTGGGTCCAAATCGATAATTTGCTAAAATACATCTGGAGTTAACTCCCAAAAGTAAATCTTGTATGTCAAATGGAAAATATAACCTAGAAGATAAATAACATTTTAAACTCTTAAATAACATTTTATACACCAACACGGGCACTTTTTGACATATTTCTAAAAAGTTTAGCATTAAAAAAAATCTAGCATTTTTGTCTCAATAAAGTTTTGGAAAAACTGCTCACATGTATCTTTCCAAATTTTGCACTACAAGTTTAAATGTAGCAATCCAGCCTACAAAAAACCTTGAATGTCCTAGCTTCCAAGATATCCCTATTTTTTCCATCCCTATTTATTCTCCAGAATTTCCCAAAAATTAGTATCGCTTTCTGAACCAAGCATGGACTTCGCTTAGGAGCTGTTGAGCCAATCCGAATTAAGCCAATCCGAAAGTAGTAAAGTCGGACTGGGCCGACTATATGATACCCTTCACCACTTTGAGCATATTATACATATGTATCGTAAAGGATGTCGCCTTCTCGAAGGAACATTGACAAGAAATTGAACGAACTTAAATATGTGATCTTTATCTATATCTAAACCGACTAACATCAATCCCTACACAGCCTACACATGTCATTCTGCTACCTATGCTAAATTTTGTAAATCGATTTAAAGCAAACTTGACACACGCTATTCGGTATGCTGCACTGTTTAAAATTTAATCTCAATCAAACACCGATTGATTGTTTGGTGTACAATAAACATGAATAAGTCGAAAATATATATGGAAGCTATGCTATATCTATATCTGAACCGATTTCAATTCCAGTAGATCGGCCTAGCTAGGGGTCTTTAGTGCACCATTAAAATCAGACGAACATATATATAGAAGATGATTGTAAATCTGATCCGATTTTCACGAAACTTTGTACACATCATTCTAGACGGAATTCAGTACGCTATACCCAAAATCGAAAGATATAGGGGGCTTTGGTGCAGCATTTACATAAAATGTGACGAAAATATATATGGGTCCTATATCTAAATCTGAACCGATTTTCATGAAACTTTGCACACATTATTCTAGACTTAATTTAGTACGCTATACCAAAATTCGTGCAAATCAAAAGATTTGAAAGGACTTTGGCGCACCATTTACCTAAAATAGGGTGAAACTACATAAGGGAGCTATATCTAAATATTAACCTATTTTCACGAAACTTAGCACACGTCATTCTAAACTTAATTCAGTACGCTATTCGCCATTTACTTGAAATCTTAATGTGAACCGATTTTCACGAAAATTAGCACACGTCATTCTTAATGTAATACGCTATGCCAAAATTCGTTCAAATCAAAAGATTTGCAGGGACTTAGATGCACCGTTTACTTAAAATCGGGCGAAAGTATATTTGGGAGCTATATCTAAATCTGAAACGATTTCCACGAAACTTAACACACGTCATTCTAGACTTAATTTAGTACGCTATGCCAAAATTCGTGAAAATCGAAAGATTTGCAGGGACTTTAATAGAACATTTACCTGAAATCGGGCGAAACTATATATGGGAGCTACATCTAAATCTGAACCGATTTGCACGAAACTGTTTACACGTCATTCTACACTTAATTCAGTACGCTATACCAAAATTCGTGCAAATCTAATGGTTTTCAGGGACTTTGGTGCACCATTTACTTAAAATCGGACGAAAATATATATGGGAGCTATATCTAAATCTGAACCGATTCTTTCCAATTTCAATAGGGTTTGTCCTTGGGCCAAACCAATGGGCTGTGCCAAATTTCATCCAATTTTGCTCACAAAAATACATGGACGGACGGACGAACGGACAGACACACATGCATAGATCGACTCAGAAAGAGATTCTATGCATATTCTCAAAAGGAACCATGGGTCTATCTCGATTATTTTTGCTTGTTACAAACATATGCACAAAGACATAATACCCTTTACCACAGTGTGGTGAAGGATATAATGACATTGAAATCAAAGCCCAATCATCCCATGGAAACTTCTAGAAGAGTCAAGACCGAGAAAAGATATCAAGTTCGGTCAAATGATAAGTTTTTCCTCATTACATTCTTCGATTCAATCCAAAGTCGTTTATTACTTTGTTGTGAGATATGGACATAGACAAAGCTCACAGTTGCTGATCCTTGTACAGAAGAGTCGTAGTTTCTAAATGGGGTTTTAATCCAATTCCGTCTGTAGTCGGGTGAACAGCAACGGACAACGGACGTGGGGCAATACGGACAACACCAACGGGAGCTTTGAAGTCTATATTTTATAAAAAAGTGACAGTCGCAGGTTTAAGACTTAAAGCTATGAACGAGTGGATTGACACCGGACACAATAGACCGCACCAACGTATTATACAGGCCGCAATTGGATCAATAATTAGTAGTTTTGACTCGGACTGAATACCTGAAATAAGAGTAGCCACAACATGTGAAATTATGATAATAGACAATTTTGATAAGAAAAAAATAAAATATTCAAAATATCGAAAAAAGGACACACTCTTTTTATTGAGGACGATTTTTTTTCGAAACATTTTTTGCTGTCTAAGAACCTCGGGTATCTTATTAAGCCACTAAATATACGAGAAGTAAGGCGGGACCAGGTATTTCAAAATGAATGACTAAATTCATATAAATTTCATCTTTCAATGGAGGACAAAAAGGTATAAATCACAAAAATTTGGTCGAATAATACCAAAACTTTAATGTGGACATCATGCATTCTCTCACGCCACCATCTACGTCATGGTGCCGTCCATCCACAGCAACAATTGCATTGCAATTGGGTTCATTTGGCGACTGCAAAAAATCCAATTATCAAGTATATTTTTTCATCATCAATTTGCAGTTAATTTTATTTTTGTTGATTTTACTTTTTTGTTTTATTTACATACATACTCGCCGTACATCGACAGTTTCATGGCAATAAATTATCAATTTGAATAGTTAATTTAATTGTAATTTGTTTTACTACCGGTAACTGTTTTCATATCAACAAATTGGTCGAGTGAGGTGTTGTCTCATGCAAATGTGTATGAGAACACACACACATGGGTCGTTGTCAATTACAACCATATTTGTAAGAGGTTTAATGTGCTAAATGAAGGTGGGTATTGTTGTGTTATTGTCACTATGATTCTATTTTTGATTACTGTTGAAGAAAATAAAATTTTGACACAACTAATTCGAATACATATTTATTTATTTATGTTGTCATAAAATAGTGATGGTGTCACGTAATTACCTAGCTGTATGTTCACACTTGTATTCGCATGTCATAGCCCTTTAAGGGGGTGGTGACGAGCAATTTAAACGCCAAAATAAATGTGACACCCCCCCAAAAAGAAATTTATACTATTTTGTATTTATATGTAATATACATGGGTGTACGTGGGGTGTTGTTTGCAGTTAGGGTTTAAATTGTTTATCCAATAAAAATATTTGACAACCTACCAATGTTGTTTAATGGTGGTATGAACTCGATGAAATTAAAACTTAAAATAAAATCCCACCACATTGATATCATAACAACAGAGCAAACAATATTAAACGTTTTTTGTGCTATATCTTAAGCTTATATATTTTGAGTGCAGATCAGACCATACATTTTATACACATATCATCGCATATTGGCGTTTTTATACCCTCCACCATAGTATGGAGGGTATATTAATTTTGTCATTCCGTTTGTAACTCACCGAAATATTCATTTCCGACCCTATAAAGTATATATATTCTTGATCAGGGTAAAATTCTAAGACGATCTAGCCATGTCCGTCCGTCCGTCCGTCTGTTGTAATCACGCTATCTTCCGAAGGAATTGAGATAGGGTGCTGAAATTTTGCATAGGGTTGACTTTGAAGATGGGATATATCGGTCCACGTTTAAGCATAGCTCCCATATAAGGGTACCCCCCAATTTTCGGTATTTTGGAGTTCTTTGTGTTTCAACCGAATTCGCTGAAATTTTGTACATTGTGTTCTTATTGGGTGCTAAATGTCTTTACAAAAAATTATAAATATAGGTTCACTTTTTCTGGTAGCCCCCATATAACGGTACCTCCTAATTTTCAGTATTTTGGGGGTTTTGGTCGTATTTTTCTACCGAATTGGCTATAATTTAGTACTTTAAGTTCTTAATAGGTTTCAAATCACTCCACAAAAAAATATGAATATAGGTCCATTTTTTCTGGTAGACCCCCATATAAGGTTACCCCAAATTTTCGGTATTTTGGGGTTCTTGAGCGCGATTTTCAACGGAATTCGCTGAAATTTGGTACATTGGATTCTTATTGGGTAACAAACATTTTCCACTAAAAATTATAAATATAAGTCAATTTTTTCTGGTGTCATATAAAGGTACCCCCAAATTTCGGCATTTTGAGGTTTTTGA